TTCCATTGTGAGTCTTTTGGAGTTGTCTTAGATCCTTGCATTGCTGAGAAGGGCTAAGTCTGTCACAGTCAGCCATTGCACAATGTGTACAATGTTCTCCTGCTTCTGCTCCTTTCACTCAGCATCAATTCATTTAAATCATTCCAGGTTTTTCTGAAGTCTGCCTGCTCATCATTTCTTATAGCACAATAGTATTCCATTACATTCATATACCACAACTTGCTCAGCCATTCCCCAGTTGATTGGCATTCCCTCAATTTCCAATTCTTGGCCACCACAAAAAAAGCTGCTATAAATATTTTTGTACATGTGGGTCCTTTTCCCATTTTTATGATCTCTTTGGGATACAACCCTAAAAGTGGTATTGCTGAGTCGAAGGGCATGCACAATTTTATAGCCTTTTGGGCATAGTTCCAAATTGTTCTCCAGAATGACTGGATCAGTTCACAACTCCACCAACAATGCATTAGTGTTCCAGTTTTCCCACATCTTCTCCGACAGTTACCATTTTCCTGTTTTGTCATGTTAGCCAATCTGATAGGTGTGATGTGGTACCTCAGAGTCATTTTGATTTGCATTTCTGTAATCAATAATGATTTAGGGCATTTTTGTATGACTATAGATAGCTTTAATTTCTTCCTCTGAAAACTGCCTGTTCATATCCTTTGACTGTTTATCAATTGGAGAATGACTTGTGTTCTTATAAATTCAACTCAGTTCTCCATATATGTTAGAAATGAAACCTTTATCAGAGACATTGGCTGTAAAAATTATTTCCCAGCTTTCTGCTTCCCTTTAGTTTGCTTATAATATCGGTCTTTATATCTAAATCCTGTACCCATTTTGAGTTTATCTTGGTATAGGATGTAAGATGTGGGTCTGTGCCTAGTTTCTGCCATACTACTTTGCAGTTTTTTTTCAAAGAGTGGGTTCTTATCCCAGAAGCTGGAGTCTTTGGATTTATCAAATAGTAGATTACTGTAGTCATTGACAGTTGTGTCTTGAGTACCTAACCTATTAGGAAAGGTTGTTTTCAACTGGAAGGCTTGTATAAGAGTAAATACAGAAGGCTCTGAACTGAGTTTTGAAAGAAGTATTGGGTTTCAACAGATGGAGAGGGGGGTGGGGTTTCTCTGTCTATGTGTATGTGTAGGATACGTCTCTACAAAGCATGGAGGTGGGAAAGCAGCAAAGGAGGGATTTCAAGAGAGAACATGAAGGGAATCTGTTCCAGACATAGAGAATGACTTATTTGGAGGTGGGTGTGTACAGGATGGGATTGGGGAGTTGCTAGTAGTAGTAAGTAATAGTGTAGTTCAACTGTAATAAAAGTGCAAGAATTGGAATTGCAGCAAATGCTTGGGTTCATAGGTTTTATTAAAAGAAAAATTAATTTTTCTGCCCCTCTGGGTTGGCTATCCTGAAGTAGACCCAAAGGTATCTATAAACATGGATGGAGAAAAAAATACAAGAAACTAAACAGCTAATATAAATGCAATGTGGAGTTTTTTTAATTGATTTTTAAAAAAATATTGATATGTTCAGTGACTAAAGTGACATTTTATTGAATGCCAATATGCTCACACACACGTTGAAACTCCATCTGTTGAAACTGAATCCTTCCTTCCTTTAAAATCCAGTTCAGAGCCTTCTGCGTTAATTCTTTTATGACCCTTGTAGTAGGAAACAATTTTTCATGCCTCACACCCAACATAACATTTTATTTGTGCTTGTATTATCACCACTGTGATAGATGTTGAGAGAGATGCAGAAATTAAATAAGACGGATTCCCTATTTTCTTTTTAAAAATTTATTTCATTTTTAATTTATGGAATAAAACAAGCATTTCTGTAACAGTATAATAAAAAAGATGATTGCACATGAAACTGCAAATCTACTATGTACAACTTGTAATTCCTTTTAAATATACAACAAAGTTATCGTGTAGATTTCTTTTCTTTTATTCTCTCCCAGCTCTAGAGATGGCCATCATCAGACACAAATAGGTGACTGTCTTCAAGCTGTCTCATTGCATTTCAGAAACACAATCTGTTGTGTCTAATTTCTTTCACCAGAGCAGTCCATTTCTATCTGTCTTTCATAGTACTTTAGAACAGAGGTACTCAAACTGTGATCCAAGTCCCCCTAGAGGCCCCCTTTTAAGGGTCTGTAAGGTCAAAACTATTTTCATAGTAGTTCTATGTTTTAATTTATATTATGGTAAATATATCTGTATACATTTACCATAAAATGTACATGTATATATGTGTGTGTGTATGTGTATACGTGTGTGTGTGTGTGTATATATACACACACACACACACACACACACACACATATACACATAAATATGTGTGTGAATATATACATGAGTGTGTGTGAATGTGTGTATGTATCTCCCACGTAAAGAAAAGTTTTTTGGGATCCTCAGTAATTTTAAGAAAAAGTGTCTCAAAACTAAAAAGTTTGAGAAGCCCTGGTTTAGAGATCAGTTACCATTGGACTTTTCAGCAGATGAGTTCTTAGCTTTGGGATTCATGTTCTGCCCTGCTGTTCTGTTCTTCAGCAAGTCAGGGACCCCTCCTGGGAAGCAGAGTTATTACCCTGGGTCCCTGCAGGCCCACCAACCAATGAGGTCATTCTTTCTCTATACCATTGTTATTTTCAAAGTCCATTTGATCTTGAAGGGACCCAGAATTCTAGCATCAGACTTTTTTTTTCCCCCAAATTCTGTGTTGTTTTTCCTTTGCTGTGGGAATGATGGCTGCTGTTCATTGACACTATGCCCTAAGTTAGTCACAGGTCCTGGAGAGGGGTGATGGAGGAGTTGGAGTCAGAAGATGTGGCTTGAGTTCCAGTCTTGCCATTCACTAGCCTTGTGATCATGGGCAACTCATTTAATTTCTCAGGGTCTCAATTTCTTCATTTGTAAAAAGGAGATAAGAATATTCATAAGACCTACTTGCTTCCCAAGGTTATTATGAGAAGAAAGGGCCTAGTGAACTCTAAAGTTTACATAAATGTATGTATTAGTAATGTTGCAAGTATTTATAGATGAGAAGTAGCATGGCTGATGAAAAGTCGGGAAGACCTTGGCTCAAATCTCATTTCTGACACATAGTGTCTGTGTGACTCGAGACAAGTCATGTAGTTGTAGTTTTTCCTTTTCGAAGAGGACCAAAATGACATCACTGTGCTAGGGTCAAGTTTCAGTGTGTCCAACCGTGGCTGATCAGACCAACACAAGCTCAGAAGACTCTACCACAGGTCAGGCACAAACAGTCCGTGTGAACCTTTGGGGTGGTTTCTCTAAACTTGCACATCTTGCATTTCTTTTGAGCTGCTTCAATTCTGCTTCATTCATAGAGCACAGCACCTTTTCTGATGAGGGCATGCCATGCTGAGCTGTCCTGTGACAGTGTCTCCCATGTCACACAGTCAATTCCAGGTGTCCTTGTACCGCTTCTTCTGACCACTGTGTGAACGCTTGCCCTATGTGAGTTCTCTCTAAAATAGTTTTTTTTGGCAAGTGTACGTTTTGCATTCGAGCAATGTGGTCAGCCCAACGGAGTTGCCCTCTCTGAAGCAGGGTTTGAATGCTTGGCAGTTTAGATCAAGAAAGGACCTGTGTCTGCTATCTCATCCTGCCACATGATCTTCCTAAGACAATTCAAATGAAAGCTATTCAGTTTCCTGGCATGGCGCTGGTATACTGTCCAGGTCTCATACATAACAATGAGGTCAGCACAGAAGTCAGTCTAATACCTCTTCCCTCCCACACTTGGGAGCCTCTCAAACACTGAGTTAGCTCTGGCAGTGCATGCATCAACCTCATTATCAATGTGTACTTTCCTGGAAAGTATACTACCAAGGTAAGTTATCCACAGCATTCAAAACTTTTCCATTTGCTGTAACTGATGATTCCACGTATGGATGGTGTGGTGGTGGCTGATGGAGCACCTGTGTTTTCTTGCTGTAAATTGTTAGGCCAAAATTAGCATAAGCAGCAGAGAATTGGTCCATACTTTGTTGCATCTCAGCTTCAGAGGCTGCATTGAGTGCACAGTATCTGCAAACAGAAAATCATGCACCAACCCTAAGTGTGAATGATGTTTTATTGTGATTAGGTAAATGGAAGACATAGTTGGTGATGAGAAGATCATGAGGTGCACAAGTCTTCAGTAATAAGTGACCATTGCTGTTGCTCTTTTCAACTCTATTCCTCCCAAGAAGTCTCTGCCGTGCCTAATAGTCTGAGCTTATTCTACCATTCTAGTCTCCCACAATTATAAGCTTGTCATTTAACCTCTAGGTAACTGTCTTAAAATTATAAATTATGGAATATTCCAACCTGCATTGTTAAAGGGTGTTTCCTCCCCTGAGAGTTCTCTATACCTGTGAAATGACAGGTGTAGTCCTTGTGCACACCTCTACTTAGCAATACCACCTTTGTTATAGCCAAATTCAGAGTTTACATCTCGTGTTCTAAACTGTTTGTGTAAATGACTGGGGGAAGATCCTATTCCATTTCATATCTAAAGAATATGAAAGGGAAGGTGACTAAATTATTTGCTGGAAGTGAAGCTTCTGTGTTTTATTTTTATTCTTTTAAAATTTTTTCTTTAAAATTTTTCTAATCAATGTAGTCATTCCTCCTTAAAGTCCCTTTCCTTGCCTTAAATGTTCCCATGTAACAAAGAAAAATATTTAAGCCAAATCAGCTGATACAGTGACTGTATGTGACAGCATATATTGTATTCCACATCTGTGGTCTTCCACATCTGTGGTCTCCCACCTCTCTATTGAGAAAAAGGAAGATATATTTCCTTACCAGTTCTCTAGGAATGATATTTATCATTACAAGTAACCTGAATTCAACTGCCTTTTATTAGCTGTTTTTTTTGTATTTTGTAGTCATTGAATAATTTGTTCTGGTTTTACCAACTGTACTCCATATCAGCTTATATAAGTCTTCTAATGTTTTTCCTCATTGTTTTAGGAGACACTAGAATCCATGATTTCCTGCATAGTGCATGTTCTAAAGATGGAGCCCTCATTGTCCAGGTCTGCTATTACACCCTCCTCCTCACATCTCTTCAAATTTAAATTTTTTCTGGGGCAGCTAGGTGGCACAGTGGATAGAGCACCGACCCTGAAGTCAGGAGGACCTGAGTTCAAATCCAGCCTCACACCAAACACTTGACACTTACTAGCTGTGTGACCCTGGGCAAGTCACTTAACCCCAGTTGCCTAAAAAAAAAAAATTTAATTTTTTCTATCCCCAATAAATCAGCTGGGTTGCATTTTGCAGTTCATTGTCCATATCTCCAACCCAGAATGATACTGGGGGTCCCAGGGAGGCATAAGCATAGTCCTTTCACTTGTTTCCATAGTGCCATATAGGAAAAGAATTTCAAACAATCAATGTGGTGCAGATATTCTACAGTATCAGTAACTTGTACATCCAGAAATCGTAATTGACCCATATATAGGGTTTTGCAGATTCAACAAATAAAAGCATTTTGCAGTTTATCAGAAGTACTGCATGCTTAGTACTTAACAAGGACCTGTCTTGGGGCTTGGAATTATCATTCCCCACCTAAAGGCAGTACGGTTAGCCCTTTCATATCACAACTTTTCCCATAGTAGTTTTGATATGCAGCAGATCGGCATAAGAAAATAAATGGCAATTTGGAGGGAGTTTTGTGAAAGCCCCAGACAACACACAAAGGCCAACAGACGGCACAGAGCCTGTGACCAAATACTTAACTCAAATTTTACAATAAGGTACTGTAAATATCCCATAAAAGAAAAAATTCAGACTTCTTCTCTGGTATGAAGGGCCAAAAAATTTTACACAAATTTTCCAGATTGCTGGGGTGCTGCATTCCTAATCCCCATGATGTGGAAGGGACAACTGTAAGAAGAAAAAGGCAAGGAAAATCAGACTTCCTGTCTCAGAAGGAGGCATGATCCCTACGCCTCCCCAGAACACATATGATTCTCCTTATAGAAGCTTAAGACTTGGGGTTGGCTAGGAGTCACCCATCACCCTTAGGTGAGAAACCAAACTGACCCAAGTGAAAACTCTTCCATAATGTCCTCAGCACACAGGGATAATGACTACTACATTTTTCCAGCCTGTAAAATTTCAGCAGGTACCAATTTGATTAAAGAAATACTATGTTAGTGCTGATGGTCTTGTTTTCCATTTCTGTTAAAATCCTGGCCCATGGCATCATATCTTTCATCTGGATTAATTTGTTTCCTTCTGAAGCCATGCTCTCCTCTCTTCTCCACTCCACCCCACTCTTTGCTATTTGGCAAAAGCTGGATTATTTTCATGTAGTAATTTACTCCCAATTTAATCATGTACTTTCCACATACTAAAGAGTGGTAACCACCCAACTTCAAATTTAGGCTGAAATTCCCCTCCTTGCATAATGGTATGTTCTGAGTTTAGTCCATAGTTTTCTTAAAGGCCTGTTAGTTTTCGACCTTATTCTGCCATTCTCTACTTTTCTCCTCTTTAGGTGTGATGACCTCTTTTCCACGATCAGATGCTTCTGGGCCCGAAAGCAGCAGAAATGTGACTAAACCAGAGCAGCCACTCCTCCTGCCATGATGCTTTTCCGTAAGCTGCGGCTGCTGCCCTGGTCCAGCCCAGCTCTCCATTTCTTTTTCTTGACAATAGTAATATTTGGCATTTTGGCCCCTCTGACCTGCCACCGCCTCCTCCACTCTTACTTCTATGCGCGCCGCTGGCACCTGCACCAAATGAGCGAGGAGTTCTTGGAGCAGAGCATGAAGGAGGGTGAGGCTTCACTCCACTACTTTAAGAACCTCCAGGCCCTCAATGTCACCCCACCCAAAGATAGGCAGGGCCCCTCACGGCCTTGGCTCTTGATCACCATCATCACAGTGTACCGACAGCCTGAGTTCCACTATGTCTTACAGGTGGCATCTCAGTTCCATCGCCTCCTTCAGCAGTGCGGTCAGCCATGCCAGAGTCACCAGCTCTTTCTGTGTGATGTGGATTGGAACTCCAGACACCAGGATGCCAAGCTGCTGGCCAATTTTATCCCGGTGAGCAGCCGATTTGCAGGCACCAAGGGTGTGAACATTAGCAGGAATGTCTTCAGTAATACATTTGAGAAAGAGAAGCAGGACTATGCCTATTGCCTGGAGAAATCCCTGCAGAACTACGACCCAGAATACATTCTGATGGTGGAAGATGATGCCGTTCCTGAAGAGCAGATCTTTAGTGTCTTAAGGCACCTTCTGGAAACTAGATTGTCTGAGCCACACCTCAGAGATGCCCTTTACCTGAAGCTTTATCATCCCGAGAGACTCCAAAGCTACTTCAACCCAGAGCCCATGAGGATTCTGGAGTGGTTTGGTGTGGGGATGTTCCTGGGGCCCTTGCTCGGTTGGGCATATGTCAAGATTGCCAGACTCCCAGGGCTGAGCTACCGCATCGTTCTTTTCTTCTCCTTGTACAGCATGGGGCTGGCAGAGCTCGTGGGCCGGCACTACCTGCTGGAGCTTCGACGGCTGGCCCCTGCCCTCTACAACGTGGTCCCCACTACACAGTGCTGCACTCCTGCCATGCTTTTCCCTGCCTCTTCGGCCCAGAGGACAGTGAGCTATCTAGCTGAGATATCTTGCCGCAGTGGCTTTGCCAAGGACATGGCCCTCTACTCATTTCTACAGGACAAGAATGAGAGGGCCTATGTGGTAGAGCCTAACCTAGTAAGACACATTGGGCTCTTCTCCAGCCTCCGGCTTAACTATAAGCCCAGATTGTTATAAAATCCTGAGAAAAGCCTTTCTGGATGTCAGAGCACTTCTTAGGGATAGGTACACTTAGCCATGTATTTTGGATTCACTTACTTTCTTTTTATTTGTTTAACGTTGTGTAGAGAAGTGTTCATTGGGAAAATGAGGGGCTTAGGGATGAAGTGCCTTAACAGTTTGTAACCTGCAGACTGGTGGCAGGCAGGATACCATCTGAATACCAAGATTCTTCCATATTCTGCACCAGACCTAGGTACATAACTTATCCATAAATGTCTTGTGAATTCTGGATATTTTGACTTTGACATTCGAACTTTTTAGCAGAGCAGACCCAATAAATCTCTCTTACACACACATACACACACTTACACTCACTCAGTCACTCTCCACCAAAAAAGAAGGAACACCCAAGATTCAAATAGGTGTGCCTTTGGAAAAATTTTCAGTGAAATAATAGGCTGCCTCTTAGTGTCTTTGTATGAGGATTTAGATCCAGTAAGATCCTGGTAAAATATTCATAGAAAGAAGACATACAGAAAGGAGACAATAGGTTATGCCTGTGGGAGTTTGGGGTACATTGGCCAAGGGTCTAAAAGCTTCCAACTTTAAGGGTCCAAGATTGTCAACTCTTTCCTTCCGACACCCCACAAATAAGTCTGAAGGCATAAGCCATCTAAAATCTCCAATTTTAAATGTCTTTCACTTCTTTCTAGCCCAGAGCACCAGAATCGGGATTCATTTGCCTTACCAGGAGTGATTGAGGCTTCTTCTAATCTTGTGGTGGACTGCTTACTTCCTTTCTTCTGTTGTATGCTTGGATACTTTCTACCTCCATGTGCAGTTATAGGGGAATTGAAGGCAAAATCTTACATGTTATCATCCACATTTGTTCATTCAACAGGCATTGATCCTATTGTGTGTAAGACATGTGTGCTGGGCACTGAGGGGAATACAAAGATAAACTAGAGATCACAAAATCTTAGACTTGGAAGGACCTTCAGATCTCATCTATTCTAGTACAGTTCATAACTGAACAAAATCCCCTCTGCCATATACCTGACAAGTGATCATCCTGTCTTTGCCTGAAAACTGCAATGAAAAGAAAACCTACTAACTCCCAGGGCAACTTAGTCTGCTTTTTGATACCTCTGATTGTTAGGAAGTTTTTCTTTACATTAAGTTTGAATTTGCCTCTTTGTAACTTCTATGCATTTTTCCCATCTCTACCTTCTGGATCAGAGCCCAAGAAGTCTGATCTCTCATCCCTATGACAGCCCTCCAGTATTTTTAGGAGGATATCATGTTGTTCCTTAGGATAAACGTCTCCAGTTCTTTCAAAGGAGCCTCACATGAGATGATCACAAGGTCCTTTTTCCTTAGCTCCTCTCCTCTGGATGCTCTCCACCTTACAAATTAGCTGTCTTAAAATGTATGTAGTACCTGTACTGGAACACAACACTCCAGGTAGTATCCAGACAGAGCAGAGTACCATAGAGCTATCACATTGCTCAGTATGGATGTTAAGCCTTTAAATGAAGTCTGAGATCACATTAACTTTCTATTTAAATGCCTTCATGGAGCGTAACAGTTTAGTAGAGAAGGGAGGATATATACAGTAATGAAGACTACATGCCCACAGGAAAATAAAAAGCAATCCAGGCTGACTTTAAAAAAGACCTTGGATTTTGTAGGTTTTTGAAATATCAACATTCAGCCATTTAATTGTTAAACTGGGAACGGGGAACACAAATTGTCAATTATAATGGATATATGTATACACACACACACACACACACACACTCTCACGCACGCACGCACACCTTACTCAGCATCAAACCTGGCCAAGACCTGTTCCAACCTGTAGGTTCCCTACCCTTGATAGCTTATAACAAAAAAATTTCATTCCAAATAAAAGAAGAAATTCTACCATTTGTAAATGGTGTGGGACTTCACCTTCAAAGAATAATTCAACTAATTAGCACATAACAATGATAGTTTGGATTTTTTCCAGTGACCAGTTTCTGTATTTCATATCTTTTACAATGTACTAATAATATATGTTTCCTGCTACATATTGAGTTTCCTTTTACCAATAACACAAGAAAGATGTCAAATTTCTGCTGCAGGGGGGGAATGTTTTGCCGAGAAAGTCAATTTATTTGTTTATGACAGCTGCAAAAGTTACATATGGTATATCAAACAACTATGTGTAGCCAAGTTTTTTATGTTATGTATATGACTCATTACAATACATTAGATAGAGTTGGACAGTGGTCTTCAAAATCTGGTTGGCTGTTGCCAGCATCTGGGTACAGATTAGGAGCTGCTCAGTTGCTTTTTAGCTAAAGCAATTTCTGCTTAAAAGAGGCAGCACAGCATAGTGGATTGAAGACTGATCTTGAAATCAACAAGACCTGGGTGCCTGTCACAGCTTCCTAAAGTTAGTAACTTACAGATTGCTAGTCAACATCTATGAAATGGAGTTTCCACACCAAGAGGTACCCGTGCTAGTCACAAGCCTAACCAAAAAACAAAAATCTGTCTAGGCTCAAAGAAGTTTTGTTTTGTTTTGTTTTGCTTTTTAGAACAATTAAATTTGTCCTGTTACATCAAAAAAAAATTTCCTAATGATTAAATTTCTTCTGTTTCACAATTTTCATATGAATTTATTAAAAGACAACTAGAGGAATAGACATTAATTAGATAATAATGTTATGATAATCACATAGTCACAATATATTGTGTTATAAACAATTATAATAACAATATTATAGTTATTACTTATTAGTTTTAGCTATTTAGTGGATCTGTTTTTTAACTTAGACATTTCTGTATCCAGTGCTAATGAGAAAGAGACAAAGTTACCTCTCAGAGTTCTGGGTTTTCAGAGCTTCAGGGGTCTTTAGAAGTTATCTATTCCAAGCCCTATATGAATAAGAATTTGGTTTTCAACATCCCATGGAAGTGGTCCCTGAGTCTCTGTTTGAAGATCTCCAGGGAAGGAGAACCATGATCCCTTCTCTCCTGGCTGCTTCCTTGTTGCCCTTGTCTCCCCCCTCCTTAGAAAGCCTTTTCTTGGTTAGGCCATCATTGGTGTCTATCACCCTATATCCTCATCCTCCTTGACTTCTATGTAGCCACTGATACTATCACCCTCTTCCAAATACTTTTGTGTTTTCATGACTCTGATCTCTCCTGATATTCCTCTCACCCTTTGTCTGTACCACCTCAGCCTCTTCTGCTTCATCTTTATCCAGCTTATGCCCACTAACTGGCGATGTTCCCCAAGGCCCTGTCCTGAGCACTCTTTCCTCCCACAGAAGCCTCTTGATTAGGGTCAAAGAGGAGAGTGTAAAAGCTGACTTGAAGCTTAACATTAAAAAGAAAACCAAAAAACCTAAGATCATGGTAACTGGCCCTATCATTTCTTGGCAAATAGAGGGAGAAGAAATGGAAGCAATGTCAGGTTTTATAGTCTTGGACTCAAAGATCACTACAGATAGTGACTGTAGCCATGAAATTAAAAGAAGCTTGCTCCTTGGAAGGAAAGCTGGTAAATCTGTAGGGCAGACTAAAAAGTAGTAATATTGTTTTGCCAACAAAGGTCTGTATAGTCAAAGCAATGTATGGCTGTGAGTGATGAACTATAAGGAAAACTAAGCACCATAGAATCACATTTTTGAATCGTGTTGAAGACTTTTGAAAGTCCCTGGAATAACAGAGATCCAATAAGTCAGTACTTAAAAGAAATTAATTAAGGCTTTTCATTGGAAGGGCAAATAGTGAAGCTGAAGGTTAAACACTTTAGCCACGTAATGAGAAGACTGGACTCTTTGGAAAAGACGCTGATGTTGGGAAAGATTGAAAACAAAAGGAGAAGGGGATGGCAAAGGATGAGATGGATTGATAGTATCATGGAAACAACGAATAGGAACTTGGACAGACTTTGGGAGATAATGGAGGTTAGGAAGGCGTGACATGCTATGGTCTGTGGGGTCACAAAGAGTTGAACACGACTGAACAACAACAAATTGCAGTAGCATTCTGTTTTATTTCCTGCCTGAAGTCTCCCGACTCCAATCCATCATCCATTCTGCTGTCAGAGTGATCTAAAAGCACAGGTGTGACCATGTAATTTCACAACTCAATAAACTCCAATGGCTCCCTATTATCTCGAAGATAAATAGAAACATAAAATACTCATTGGCTTTTAAAGCCCTTTACACCTGGCACCTTCCCATCTCCAATCTTATTACACTTAAATTGTCTTCCACGTGCTCTGAGATCCAAAAACACTGGTCTTCTTGCTTTTTCTTGCAATATTCCATCTATGGGCTCTTCATCTTTTTACTTCATGCCTGAAATGCTCTCCCTTCTGTCCACCTTCCTTCCAAAGACCACTCAAATTCCATCTTCCACATTGTGTCTTTCCTGGTCACCCTTCCCCTCCCCCCACTGCTGTTTTTCCCTTGAAATTACCTCCCATTTGCACTCTATGTGCGTCTACACAAATACGCATGTATATAATATATGTGTGTGTCTATATTATATACACCTTTGTGTGTGTGTGTGTGTATATATATATAGTGTGTGTCTATATATATTATATACACCTTTTTTTGGTGTGTGTGTATATGTATATGTGTATACACACACACCAAAAAAAGGTGTATATAATATATATAGACACACACATATTATATACATGCATATATGTATATATATATATTATATATGTACATATATATATTATATACACCTTTTTCTCTCCTCTATTAGAATGTGGACGATACATTCTAATGTGTTTCCTTGGGGGAAGGAATCATGCTTTTGCCCTCCTTAGTATATCCCTAGTACCTAGTACAGTGCCTGGCACCTAGTAAGTGCTTAATAAATGCCCGTTCTATGACATTTGTTTACTGACTGGCAATAAGCTGGAGCACTCAACAGAAAGCAGAGTTGGGATTAACCCGGGCCTTACACTTCCAGCACTCTGTCTACCATACTGCCACGTACCAAATGGCGCCATGTCGTTCATTTCTTCTCCCAGGACGATCAGTCAGCAAACGTTTCCTTCCCAAACTCCTGTTTCCTACTGTCTTCTATATGAATGTGGCAATAAGGGGTTTGGCTATTTTAAAACTTGTAGAATCACTTTTTCTCTTCAGAGTATTTGATGAACTGCTGTTCCTAAATTAAATTCTGTGTAAGTATAGCCTGTGGTTCTCTCTTCTATGAATTTGTGATTATGAACTCAGGTCCTAAACATGGAGACTTTTCATTGTAATTTACCCATCTTGCCTTATTTGAATCAATCCAGTACCCAAACTGGAAATTTCCAGTGTAGATTTTTCACCTGTTCACCATACTCACAGACCCAGACCAGGAAATGCAAGAGGCATTTAGGTGACACAGTGTTTAGAGTGCTGGACCTGGAGTCAAAGAGACAAGTTCAGATCTGGTCTTAAACACTTCCTCAAACAAGTCACTTGACTTATCTACCTCAGTTTCCTCATCGGTAAAATGGGGTTAATGAAGTCATTGTGAGGATAAAATAAAGCTATGCACACCTTGAGCTGTATAAGAGCTAGCTGCTCTTGGTATAAGCATTTAATCAGCATAGACATCAATGTGAAAGAAAAAGTACCATCTCCCAATCTACCAATTCCCAAATAAGTACAGTGCCCTTCCAGTTCCTCCCCAGAGTAGTTTGAGGCTCAAATTGTTCAGTGATTCAAAGTCTCATCTGGGTTAAGTTGTTATACCTTCTTGCTTTAGCTTTTGGGATGTTGTGCTTTCTTTATGCCTGGAATTAGTTCTTTACTTGTGCCTTGTTTCCTGATTTGAACCCTGGATGCCAATATGATCAGGCTCTGCTTTCCTATTTATTGTGGGTCCAGATCTGCTGCATGTTAGCCTGTATCTTGGGCACATCTCTTTTGATTCTCTGGGCCTTAGTTCCTTATCTCTAAAATCAAGGATTAGGTTGCTAAGATCTCTTCTAGATAATCAATCATCTGTGATTCTGATCAATACTGTGACTGGCTCCCATGTGACCTGAAGGAAATTGCCCTAATGAATCTCCCTAACTCTGGTTCCTTTTACAACCTGCTTCTGTTAGAATCCCTGGAGAAATGTGTATTTCTGAGCATAGCACTTTAGGTACTCTCCCTCTTACTTGTAGAACCCCCAGAATAGCTAACCCAAGTTCAAGATACTCTTATGGGCCCACATCCATTAAAAACGGTAGGTCACAAGCCATTACCAATCCATTTAATTTTCTCAAGTCAGTTAGAAGATGCAGTTAGTTTAGAGCAAAGGTGTTTAACGCAGTAGCACTCCGAGAAAATTTACAGTAGGATATTCCTCCCATAAATGTCGGGTACAAATAAACAAAACAAAGAAAAATAGTCAAGCAAAAGTGAACAACAAAATAACAATGTCTATCCAACTGCACATGCAATATTCTATACCTGTCATCCTCTACTTTTCCACCAAGAGAAAGTGTACATCAGTACTAGGGAGTCAAAATTGGTCATTTTATTTAGCAATAATTATGATGACTTTTGATGTTGTCTATTGTTGTCATATGCGTTTTGCCTAGGTTTTCCTCTCTTCATTCTGGTTTAGTTTGTACTTCCCGTGTTCCACTAAATTCCCCATATTCGTTGTGTTTTTTTTTTTTCCAGAGGATGAAGACTGGTTAGCCAACTGCTTTTAAGAAGGGTCCCATGACTCATCTAGGCCATTGTATTTTGAGTAGCATTTTAAACTTTAATCAGTTTTTAAATAAATAGATAACCTAGTTCTACATCATGTGGAATTAAGTACCTTTATCCAGCAGATGGAGCTGAGACAGAGTGCCAGAGGAGCCTGTGTGAATCTGACCTAGGATTGGCAGGTTATGATGTATATATCTATGTATGATATAGCAGCAGATCTAGCATAAGCACCTCAACAGTCAGCCCCATGCCTAAATAGTATAAATCTTCAGGACCTAATCTGTATGAGAAAAGCTGTTGAGATCACTAAAGGGTAAAATGCCTATAATCTTACCTTGAAACTCTGATCCATAGTGACATAATATATACTAATATAACTTTTACCTGAAAGAGGAAAAAAAAAGAAATTAGTGGCAAAGGGACATAAGCTGAGACTGGTGCTGTTTCCTCATCCTCTGTAAATAGGCCTCAGTCTGTTTTTTGATCCAAGGAATATTTCAGTTGGATAGAAAACTCTATTAATGGAATACTCTATCTCCTTTTGGAAAGAGCATAGGAAGTCAAGTGAGGAAATCTGGGTTCAGATTGTACCTCTGATGTCTATTGGGCAAGTCACTTAAGCTCTATGAGCCTCTATTTCCTCATCTACAAAATGGCAATGATAATAATATTTATACTTCTTAACTTAAAAGATTGTTGCAAGGAAAAAATCTTCAACAAACATTTGCCATACACTTATTATATGCGTATGACGTTGTTCTGGGTGCCAAGTATAACAAGAAAAGAAAGAAAGCAACAATCCCTGCTGTCAACGATCTCAGTACTAGGGAGGAGAATGGGGGCTATCGGGGCACCTAAGTGGCACAGTAGATAGAGCAATAGGCCTGGATTCAGAAAGACCTGAGTTCAAATCTGCCCTCAGACACGGAAC